GTTTAGTTATACGGAATGGATCCGTGTACTGTAGTAGATATATGCAGTCAGCAGGCAGTTGGTTTAGGTTTTTTTTGGCATCTCCATGTGGTCCTGTTCGGTATCGCAGCTTGGCTTCTCTAAAATGTAAAAAAGCTTTTTGCTGTTGCACTGTACACATACTATAAAATTATTATTATTTTTCTTTCATAATATGTGCTGATATGGGTTCCTTATATCATTTGGTTCTTTGGTGTCCTTTTGGAGTTTCTAAGTGTCCTTTTTTGAAAAGACATCTAAATTTATCTTTAAAAATGTTGGATGCGATTAATCGCGATTAATCGTTTGACAGTACTAATAATTATACATATACAGTATATTAGGACTAGTGTCCTTTTTGTCCCACTTTTACTGTATTTTTTTATTTATTTCATTAGCTACATTTTGTCTTTAATTGGTCAGGACTTTAAAAACCGACTATTGAAATATTAAACATGATTTTATTGCTAACATTTCATTCGAGTTGTTTTCAGTGTTGCTAAAACAACAGTGATTTAGAATCGCAGTATAATGTTGATTCAGGGACACTACTGTTTTAACATTGCAGTTGATTCTTTTTGTTAATTTCAACGATCATTCAAAATCAACATGAATCTAGAATTAACATCAGCAACTACTGAAATTGTAACACTGTTTCAACATTATCTGAGAGTGCAGAACTGATATTGAACCAACATTACTTTGTAACTAATTCAGTGCAATTTGAGTTCAACATTGACTTTGCATTTTTTCAATGGTTGCTTGCTATCTGGGTATGCTCGGTTTATGCATGATAATTCACAATTAGAAAGTGCATTTACCTTAAAGTGTACAGTATACGCCCGTCATTCCATATCCGAAGCATGCGATTAGGTGTGGTGATCCAGTGGGCGTCTGCCTTCTTAGAGTTGCGGAAAAACGTGTCAGGGATCCAGATTTTTCCCACCATGTTGCTGTTGAGACGCAGAACCTTCATGGTGCTGTTGAACTTCAACCGCCTGTCATACCACGTCTGGGCGAAGAAGATGTCAATCGTGTACTCCTGAGGAATCGGAAAGGGCAGACCTTTCAGACATTTGTGTGATTGACAAAGGCAAAACTAGTGCTTGAATGCATAGCCCTTAGTCCCAATGAGAATAAGTATTCAACTTTGAGAAGAGAAGGGATTTGGATCATGAAATGTGGAGGATTGGCTATTTTAAACAAGTTTGGCGCAAATGAATTAATACATAAACACTGATTAAATGCATGTTAAATCCTAATCCTGGTGCAAATTCAAACGAACACGGGAGACAACAGACTGTAGGATAACACTTGTTATCTGTTTCGTACCGTTTCATATGTACATGTTTAGGGACTGTCACAGCCCAAACTCCTTTTCTTACAGATGCATACAGTACCATACAGAAAAAAAGTTGCCAGTAACACTTGTGTTTATTTGGAGAACAGCCCACATCTCCAATGCATTTAATGGCAACAGGCCAAGCAGCATTTCTGTCCATGTTACAGAAAATGGGGACAATTGCAAATAGGAATTATTGATTACTAACAAATTTCATTATATTCTATAAGTATTTGGGGTCTGTTTCAAAATGACAAACAATTTCATGCCCACAGAAATATTACCATGTATGCCTTTTGCAACCTCTTAACCTCTGTATTGCTGTCTTTTATTGCTGGAGTTCTAAAAAAGTGCTGAACAGAAATAAAAATGATACAGAAATAAACATTCTATAGAAATAAACATTAAATATATGAACCCCCTTGTTTTCAAATCAAACATATCACCACTTTATCAACAGGTCAATCTTAATAATTTGTATCTAAAGATTTGCTGTATTATAGACATAAGCCCCTTTCACACATACAGACAGAAAATTTCTGGTAAATTGCCATAAAAATTGGCATAACTTCGGTTTGAAGTCGTGTTATATGGCGTTATTTTAATGACAAATGTCGAGAGCGCATTATTGTAGCGCGAAAGCACATTAATACAATGTGCGAGCGCGGATCTCTCCGCTCGCGCACGGGTTTCCTTTGCTCTCGCACAAAACCTTTGACAATGTTTAATTCAGGTGCGAAAATAATTAATATCTATAGCGCATGAGCACAAGATCAAAATACAAACATAAAAGAGATATAGTAAAACAAAGTAGCTAAATTACCAGTTTATGTTAAAACAAAAACACAATAAAAATCAAGGAAAGGCCCTGCACAAATCTGTTTTGAGACTACTTTTTAAAAGTGCATAATGATAACCTTTGACAATGTTTAATTCAGGTGCGAAAATAATTAATATCTATAGCGCATGAGCACACAGAGATTTGAGAGTGCACAGGACACAGTTTGAGTGAGAGGAGACACGTTTTAAGTGCGTGCACTCTCTCTGGGCGAGAGCAGCGTGTATCTGAGCGCGAGCGTCCGGTTTTGTGCGAGAGCAAAGGAAATCCGCGCGCGAGCGGAGAGATCCGCGCTCGCGCATTGTATTAATGTGCTTTCGCGCTACAATAATGCGCTCTCGACATTTGTCATTAAAATAATGCCATAGTGTTATGCAATGTCTCTGGGCCAAAAGCAGCTGCATGAATGTGAACGTTTGACACGAAAATGAAAACATTAGCAAAAACACTGATCGCGTTTACCCCTCCGTGTTTACAAACACAACACCGGCAGCCGCAGCCGTTAAGAGATCATTTCTGGTTAATGTTTTCACAGAATTTACCAGTATTTTGAAACCGATGTGTGAATGGTGCTTAATCGGAAAAAAGACGGAACGCCGTTGCCTGTGTCAACAGAATTTTTGTATTTACTGGTAAAGTCGTTCCGGTAATTTTACGGCAATTTACCGGTATTACTGTCTAAAAAGGGGCTATAATTTCCATTTTGTTTCCATTGTTTCGGTTTTCTCTAACTGTGTTTATTTGCTGTTTCTGTTCGCTTCCATGGTTTCTGATTATGTTCACCTGTGTCTTGTTTAGTTGCTTGTTATCTCTTGTGTGTATATATAGCCATATGTTTCAGTTGATATTTGTTCATTATTTGCTAATTTGTTTAGCTGTTATGTTTGTGGTTCCTTTATGGTTGTCTCTTTGTTCTTGCATTATCTTCTTGTCTAAAAAAAGCTGCAATTAGATACTCGCCTCAGTCCTGGGACTGACAGAGAATACCGGACAGTATTCAACTCACAACTGTGGATTTATATCACACAATTCTGAGAAAAAAGTAAGAATGGTGAGATGAAAAGTTGCAATCGCCTTTTATTTTTTATTCAGTGGCAGAAACAGGCTCCCATACAAATCATTATAGAATATAAGCATTAATAAACATCCAAAATAAATAGGCTACAAAAATGATAGATTGCATTGCAATTTGTAATATCACTCTGACATACAGTATATGTAAGAATACCAGCATCACAGCTTTCAGTTTCTAATGTTAATAGCATTTGTGTATAAAAAATATGCTAATTCATTATAAAATAAAAATGCATTTCCTGAAAGAAACACTATATACTGTACTTTTATATTCATAAAAATGTGTTAGAGGATATCTCTTACCATGTTGATGGCATTTACTGGACCAATACTGTTGACAAACATGTCTGTGTGGATCACGGTTGGTTTGACTGTAGAGAGCAGTGGAGAGAAACAAGAAGAATGTCAAATTAGTTAGTAAATTTAATGAGGTTTATTAAGGTAATAACAATTTAAAATGTTTTTAAACAAAAAACAATCAGAGCACATGAAAAAAGCCAGGTGAACATATTATCTGACACTCTTGTTAACATTATATACTGACTTCAAAGGATATTCATTAAATCTCTATTTGTGTTCTACAGAAGAAAGTAAGTTATAAAGACAACATAACACTGAGTAAAAAAGACAGACTTAGTTTTAATGAGATTTTTTTAGGGATCTATGCACGTTTCACTAACATTACACAAACAGAAAGTTCCTAGAAAACGTTTGTCAACACTAAATCTGTGGTTGTATAATTTAAAACAAACTTCATGTTCCACTAACATTACACAAACAGAAAGTTCCTAGAAAACGTTTGTCAACACTAAATCTGTGGTTGTATAATTTAAAACAAACTTCTGTTTAGGAAATGTTTTGCTTGATATTTTGTCTAATGCAGTGGAATTCATATGACCGAGGCACCCATATATACATATTTACATGGAGCATGGATGCTAAATATTTAGAATGTAATCAACCATTAACGGAATAGTTCACACAAAATTAGCATCACATTTAGCATCACAGCCCAGTTTTCATTTACAGTTTTCACAACAAATTCACAAAACTAAAACTAACTTTACTCATGGTTGCCAACTTTGGTTGCATGTTTGGAGTGAGATTTTAATGACAAGGGCTGAATCAATGAATAAAAAGTAAATATAAATAAATAATTAAATAAGTATGTAAGTAAGTAAGTACAGACACATTTCTCACATTTTTTAATTAAACAATGTTTTACTGAACAAATTGCTCTTTCTTTAAATAAATTCAATTAGAATTAACATTTTCTTTAAATCTACCTCATTAAAAAAAAAAAAAATCTACCTCTGCTCTAAACTATAGGGAGCCTTTTTACTTTAGGTTACAATTAACAACAGAGCCCAAACTTAAATTTAATTACTATTTATTTTTAACTATAATAATCAACACTCAAAAAAAAAAAAAAAATTGTATGCAAACATGTAAACTGCACTCAATGCAGTTTTTTAACTAACTTCTAAATTATTCAATTTCTATTTGTTGTTGAAATATAATCACTTACACAGTGGCTGTCATAACTTGTTTCATAAAATATTTATTTAAATATAGCATACATTAAGTAAGACATCACTAACAGGTAAAGTAAAATATAATGAGTATATAGTCTAATTTGAAGCGAAATGCTCTTCTCTAGACTTAATTTCTCTGGTGAACTGACAAGCTGTTGGACACTGAAGACTTGCCTGAGGTAAATAAAATGTTACGTTTTAATCGCATCTTTCCGCGAGTGAAACACTGATTGTGCGATTACACGAGGCATGAGATGCTAAATCATGTTTATTAGAAATAAATTCTATGTTGAATCAAATAAAATAGTTCTTTCTGAAGCTACTTAAAAAAAAAAAAAGAGAAAAGCATCAAACTTAAAAAAATAAAGTTTAATCACAAATTAATTGCACATCAAATCTGGCTGAGTAATTACCCCAAACGATAATTTAATCGTTTGTAGTAATTTCTCAGTCAAATTTGATGTGCGATTAATTTGCGATTAATTAGATTAATCGGCACATTGTGTAATTAATTAGATTTAGTGTAATTACTTAGATTAATTCGATTTTTAATCGCTTGGCAGCCCTAGAATACACTTTAGAATTAGGGAATGCACAGCATTTTTTTGTTATTTGATGAGATTTAGTGATGTAGCGTGAGAGTGTGAGACTGAGCTTGAAAGTGTGCGTACAAATCAGAGGAATCATTTCAAATTTGACAAATCAGAGACAGTTCTCGGTGTTCCTTCAAAGAAACGTGCCACACATCAGACATAGACCTAGACACAGGCACTGATTTTGGCTGATTTTGGTAGATTGGCAAAAGTCATTTTCACAAAAAGCTGAAAATAAAAAGCTTTTATACAATTTTGCACCAATTTAAGAAGCCTCAAACACACATATGACATAGGGACAAAAATGTATTAATTGTGGCCATAAATTAAGAATTTGTTCCCTTGTTTTATGAATTTTAGTTAAATTGTGACAATGAATTAACATTTTTTTCATTTGTGGCCATGTTTTAAATCATTCCCTAGTTTTGATTTGGAAATTAATTACTACAACATGTCCATGATTTACAAAAATGAGGGAAAGAATTAATACATCCTGGGGAACAAATACATATATATATATTTATTAATTATCTATGCAAAAACCGAGGGTATTTATGATTTAACAGAACAACTCCGAAATTCAATAAAAGGCAACAACTTTGGCCACTATTTATTTTCTATCTCCATTAATCGAATAACATAATTATCAAATGTACACTTTTTTAATATTAAATATCTAATATTTTAATATTAAAATCCATTCGGCTCAAAAATCCATGGGGTCAAAAGCTCCTGTGTTAAATGATATAGTGCAATGGAGATCAGGAGTTTGTGTAATCACATCTCATCTAGGGTTTCTGTAACAGTATATCTTTGCCTGTCCATTATTCTGAGGGCTATGCATGCTGAGTTCAGTACATAAAGTGATTACATTCTCTTCATGCTGAAAATGTAAACCGCAGAAGGCTGTGCACTCAAATCTCATCTCATGTGGTCCAGGAACGATAACTTTGTTACTTTTTCTCTTTCTCCAATGTGTGTTTTTGGCCCAAAGATGCATGAATCTTTTTCTCTTTTACCATGCAAACTACAAGAATAAAGTTTGCTGATGGTTTGATGTTTTTGGCTTATAAAACTTTGTCTAAAAGTTTTAATTTCAAAGGTTTTATGGTCAGACAGACAGAGAGTAAGTTAGATGAAGACCGGAAAATCAATAAACACTATGAACACCACATTAAATCCCTTTAGAGCCCATTAAACTTCAACTGACCCCTCGGAAACCACATCAAACCAGTTCAGACCCAAATAAACCTCTTCAAACCCATTAGACATCATAAGAGCACTAAGAAACCTCAAGAGACCACATGTTTCTAGGCATTACTTTAATGTTTCTATAGTTAACATGTAGCTAGCATTGTTAACATATTTCAGCATGTTTGGTGCTTGCACTGAAAGGGCTGTAACCCCTGATGTAATTATTATTCCTCCCCAAATGTTGTCTATGGCAGCCCTATGAACTGTAGGACGGAGAATAATGAAATTTGGCACACTTAAAGGGATGGCCCTCAAAAGTAATTTGATTAATTCTAGTGTCTTTAGGGCCAACTCTATTGTGCCACCACAAGTTTAAAAATTCTTAACTTTTGAACCCTTTGATCTTAAGATCAAAGATCAAAGATAAGATCTTAGTTTATCTCATGCTGATCAAAGTTAATATGTTACATTAAGGTCCCGTCCATTGCAGTAGTTGTTGAAATGCACTGTATTGCATTTCTTTCACTACTCCTCCGTCAAATTTTGTCAGATGATTAACATTTGGCTCAGATGATTACTGGACCTAGCTGCACAGAAATGACTGAACAGAGTTTAGTATGGATATTTAATTAATAATAATAATAATGTTTTATTTATATAGCGCCTTTCAAAACCCAAGGACGCTTTACATAAAGTTGATAGATAACATGAACACAAATACAAATATACAGTCACATGATCAAAACAATAAAGCAGACAGAGACCATCTTATGCTCCAGATAAGTAATACAAGCAAGCAGGGAGTTGAAAAATGAGGCAGACAGTCAATTAACATAAGTGAGTTTTGAGATCAGTTTCAAAGGTCTGGAGTGAAGAGACAGCAGCACGAAGGTTTTGAGGAAGTTTGTTCCAGAGCTTATGAGCTAAAATGCTAAAAGCCCTGCCACCCACACTAGAAAGTCTGAACTTGGGTACTGCAAGCAAATTCCCAGAACTTGATCTTAGAGTATTGCATAGGGACATAAGCGTGAATTAATTCAGAGAGGTACAAAGGTGCAGAACCATGACAAGCCTTGAGTATCTTAAACTGAATATGATAGATAACGGGGAGACAATGTAATTGCTGTAAGACAGAAGTGATGTGGGCTGATTTTTTGTGTAAGGGCATGAGCAGCTGCATTTTGAATTAGCTGTAAGCGATTAAGTGCTTAGTTAGGTAGGACTTATAACAGGGAGTTACAATAGTTCAGGCGCGAAGTTATAAAAGCATGAATAACAGTTTCAGCATCTTTGAAATTTTGTGATTGTCGTAAACGGACAATATTGCGAAGTTGGTAAAAACAGGACTTCACAAGCTGGATGATATGGGGTTCAAAGCATAGTGTAGAATCAAATAGTACACCAAGATTACGTACTGTAGGGGAAGGATGTACTATAACTCCATTGATATTAATAGAAAAGTCCAGATGAGAGGAGACAAAGGATTTTGGGCCAACTAACAGAATCTCTGTTTTTTCAGTATTCAATTTTAAGAAATTCTGAGCAATCCATACTTTAAGATCATGTAGGCAAGATGTTAAAGAACTAGGAGGAAAAACAGAGTTGGGCTGTGCAGAAAAATAAATTTGCATATCATCAGCGTAACTGTGGAAATTTAGACCATGGCACTTGATGATCTGACCCAGAGAAAGCATGCAGATAAAAAACAGAAGTGGACCAAGAACAGATCCTTGAGGCACTCCACGGGAAGAAGTGACAGAACGAGACTTGTGTATATCAATGCTAATATACTGCTGCCTGTCTGAAAGATATGAGCTTAGCCACTGCAGGACAGTTACTGTAATGCCGACCGCAGACAAACGAGACAGGTGTATAGAATGGCAAACAGTATCAAAAGCTGCGCTCAGGTCCAAGAGAACTAGAAGACTGACGACACCAGCATCAGAGGCAAGGAGAAGGTTGTTCACTACTCTTAGAAGCGCAGTCTCTGTACTGTGGAGAGGACGAAATCCAGACTGAAAAGGTTCATGCGAATTGTTTTTGTCCTAATGATACTGTAGTTGTGTGGCGACCAGTTTTTCTAAGAACTTAGACAAAAAGGGAAGGTTGGAGATTGGTCTAAAATTACCCAGGACAGTTTCGTCATGGCCAGGTTTTTGAGTACTGAGGTGATCATGGCTACTTTCAGTCCAGGCAGTACTTAATCAGTCATAAGGGATCTATTTATCATGTGAGTGATAGGTATAATGAGGCTGGTCAAAACATTTTTGAGCAGATGTGTTGGTATTGGGTCTAACTGACAGGAAGAGGAGTTAAAGGAACACGCCACTATTTTTGAAAATAGGCTAATTTTCCAACTCCCCTAGAGTTAAACAGTTGAGTTTTACCATTTTCAAATCCATTCAGCCGATCTCCGGGTCTGGCGGTAGCACTTTTAGCTGCAGCTTAGCATAGATCATTGAATCTGATTAGACCGTTAGCATCTTGTTCAAAAATGACCAAAGAGTTTCGATATTTTTTTTAAAACTTGACTCTTCTGTAGTTACAACGTGTACTAAGACTGACGGAAAATGAAAAGTTGCGATTTTCTAGGCCGATATGGCTAGGAACTATACTCTCATTCCAGCGTAATAATCAAGGAACTTTGGTTATTTTTGAATGAGATGATAACGGTCTAATCAGATTCAATGATCTATGCTAAGCTGCAGCTAAAAGTGCTACCGCCAGACCCGGAGATCGGCTGAATGGATTCGAAAATGGTAAAAATCAACTGTTTAACTCTAGGGGAGTTGGAAAATTTGCCTATTTTCAAAAATAGTGGCGTGTTCCTTTAAGAGTTCATAATCAGCTGTTCAACCACAGATGTATTGGTGAGTGTAAAGTTAGAGAATGGATAGGGTATCTGAGAGGCATATGGATCTGAAGGAGCAGAGGAAGATAAAGATTGATAGATATTGTCAGTTTTCTGTATAAAAAATCAGAAAGTTTTCACAGCGGTCAGAAGATCCATTATGAAAGGGAGATGGTGGTTTGATAAGTTTGTTGAGCTCAGAAAATAGGGTTCTGGGTTTATACCTTGCTTTGTTAATTGACTGACGGTTCTTAAAAGTTTAATTAGTTGTTATGCTTTCAGATGATATCACGACTGAACATCTTTATAAAAAGATAAGAGAAGCAGATTTGTTTTTTGGAAAGTGATTTCGAAAATTAAAATAGTATACCCAACACAACTCAAACACAAGTGAACTTAAATAAAACCCCAGCTGAAAGAGTAAATCTGAAAGATGCAGTATTCCCACATTATACGTTGTATGCTTGGACAGTCAAACGGACACTATCAAACACTGAATCAAGGTTTGTAATTGAGAGGGAGTTTGGTGTGTTATTAAAGTTATTAAATCAAAATGTAAAGAGGTTCAGTGGAGATTAAACATGTATTTGAGTGAGTTATTAAACAAAATTACACACTTGCTGAACTACCTTCAGTAGCTCAGATCTGAATGTAAAAAAAGAAACCGAACCTACCTCCGATGTCTGGCCGCAGCTTGTTATCGTAGCCATCTAGTAAGCTGTTCAAAATATGTGTGACGTCGCTCTCGTACACTTTGGGGGTCAGAACCCACGTTTTGTTTGTCACTTCATCATCATCACTTTCCAGCTGGACAGAGCTAAAGGGGAAAGAAAAACAAAAAAGTGAATCAAAGTGGCTAATCTGTCACTTTTTACATGTCCTACTTTCAACATTTTCATAAATGCACTTTTATTTCTGTGGTCTCTAGAATGTAAGCTCATGTTGACTTTGGATTGACAACATAGCAGATGTCCATCTGATCTGGTTCTGCTCTTATACATGATCTTGTTAACAAGCCGTCAAGCGAGTATACTGTAAATCTTATTTTCCACCTGAAAGCAGACACATTTTGCTGAAATGTTTTCCAAAGAGCCACTAATGAATGTTTATCTAAATGACACAGTTTGTGAAGGAAGGAAGGAAGAGGCTTCAATGTCCACTCAGATGAAGAAGAAAATTGTTTTCTTTACTTGAAATACTGGAGTGCAATCATGTAGTTTCATCTACATTTTGATCACCGTTCTGACCGTGGGACTTAAACTTGCCCACATTCAAGTGTTAATAAAAAAAGAATGCATGAAGCTAGAATAAAATGGTTTGTTTTTATAAAAATCATAGGTTCTGTTCTTTCTTTTGACATATTGCATGTTCAGATATTCATACAACACAATATTCTGGGGCACATGAACATTTTGTGAAAATGATAAAAAATGCTGGCACCTAATAAACTACAGGAATTATTTCAAGAACACTTGACTGATCTCTGAATCTTTTGCATAGAGCACATGAAAATGTTAACAACGTTAATCAAAACAGAGAAATCAATTACATACAAACACGAGGTATCTAAAATAGCAATTATAAATGACAAAAAAATGAAAAGCAATGCTTCTCCTGGGCTTTACACAACAGATGGAAGCAGATTCGGATGCACTGTTCTTAACTCTACTGAACTGAAAATGGCTGCTGTGATTTCCATAATTGGACAAATGACCGTGAAATGCAACAAAGTTTTTTAAAAGGCCATTTAACTAGAACCATAAAAAGGGCGCCATCTAGAGGACGACAAAGATAACGTTCAGTCTTTGCAGAGTGTGGGTGTGATGGTGGAGGCTGGAGACAGACAGACGTACAATAATAATGTTGCATTAGAGGTGGAAATGTGCTCTCGCTCTCTCGCTGGCAGCGCTCCCAGAATCAGATTGTGAGGGGAAGGTGCGACAAACGCAAGCCTCTGTTTTGCATCTACAACATTATCTCATGTGTTCTATGAGAATAGGCTAGAAATCATTTTAATCACATGCTAATGTGTTTCATAAACTACCTGCTTGGGTTAAGAGTAGAGTCTATCTATCTATCTATCTATCTATCTATCTATCTATCTACCCATCCATCTATCTATCTATCTATCTATGTAATTAATTAAAATATTAAAGTATATCAGAGGCAGAGTGATGCAATCATTCTCAAATGAATGCTGAGGACCTTGGCAAAGCAATCAGACAACAATGGATGGTGTGAGGCAGTAACCATGGAGTCAGTAGAAGACAGAAAAGCACATCTTTGAGAGAAACATGACTGAGAGCTGTGCTGCTCTGGCGACTTCAGAAACATTTCAGAAAGGCGAGACTGTAACACTTTCAAGGCATTGCATTGTACATTAATATAGTGAAAACTAAATATACTAAAATGTATTTGAAATGCATTTATTTCATGCTAAGTATACAAATAAATGCTGAATGAAAATACCCAGCAGTTGTACTTGAACTGGTATGCTTCATGTCTGCTAAACTGAAACAACTAATTTTGTGCTTAATGCACTTTGATTGTGTGGAAGTAGTGCTAAAGTCCAACTAAAGATATATTGAAGTATATTTGATTGTGCTATAGTGGCACTATTGCAAGTATACTTCAGGTACACTTTAAATATCTTGCATTTAAAGGCTGATATCATTCAAAGATCATACAATCTTCATCAGCAGTGACATTAAAACACATTTTAGGCTTAATATTAAGAAATGTGCATTGTGCAAAAGTAGTACTCCAAATAAAGTTTAATTATATTTTGTATATCAGTAAATCTCGAGCGATACGTCAGTCAATATGTTAATGGATTTGAACTATACTTAGTATGAAATAAATGTATTTTAAATATATGACTTGGCACCTCATCATGACAGTCTTTTCAACAACAAACAGCTTCTGAAGCCCATTTAAAACCTTCCTGCTGAACTCTACGCATATTCCTTTTAAGCAGTTCACAAAAAAAAGACTTTTAGCGTCCCAGAACAATTTGAACAATAAATTGAACATCAATTAGACCTGTCACGATTCTTACATAATTGTCTCATCAAGATGTTAGTGGATTATTACTAATTACTGTGATCATTGGGCACTTTACATTTCAATTACACATTGCACATTGCATATACAATAATGTATATGTATATAATTGCATTATTATTGTGTTTACATTATTGTATACTGTATATACAATAGTGTAATATATACTCAACTACAGAAAGTCTTCATTCATGTAAAATGAAAGCTTGTGGGTTTAATTGGACTGCCCTAAAAAGAAACTGATCACTGATCACAACAGTTATCATATAATAACAATGAATTACCTGCAATAATAGTGATAACAGCATATTAGTGACAGGCCTAATATCAATGAAGTTAATATATTTCACACTTTTTTCCAGCAGTTTAATTGTTGCGCCTGTAATGTGAAACTTAAAAAAAAAAACCTATCATACAGAGCTGGAGTACACTGGAGCTGCTCTTCTATTGAGAACACTAGAAATGGAGAGTTTAGAATGCAATGTACTATACTACATATATTAAGAGTGCAGTTTCAGATGCCTGTTTCAGTAATAGTCATATTAGAAATAAAACCATAAATATAGCCTCAAATGGTGATTTTCAAAGGGCAAGGACAAATGACTCAAGAAGACGACACAGTGATACAATGGCCATGCAAAAAAAAACAAAAAAACATTAAAAAAGTATTATAGTATGTATTATAGCAGAATATACAAATAATACTGAATTAGTTTCAGTTGCACAGCTATCCATCATCTTTTTTCCCCTTAGAACAGCTGTGGCCATTTGTAAATTGAATGCTATTTGCTGCGTGATATTGCACACCAGTGTTTCATACCATATTATTTTAATGTATTGTCTTAATTATAAACACACTGGTTTATATAAGTTAAGCATAACTGTTTTACCATTTACTGCACATTTTTATTCTTCTCGTTATTACTCTACAGCTGACTCTACAGACTGACGTTCACAGAAAACGGCTTACTTCTGCATTGAAAAATCTTTAAGTTTTAAACAAATATGTCATTAGGAATATAACAATATATAACAATAATTTAACAGTTAATGATCTATATAAGCATTTTAGACATCACATATCTCTCTCTCTCTCTCTCTCTCTCTCTCTCTCTGTATATATAAATACACTACACGTCAATATACTGAACTATTTATGGAGATCTTAACCTGTTGACCTAAAAGGATTTCCTATCATGTGCTTTCCTCTGGACAGCATTAGTATTACAGCTGATCTTTTAGAAATGGCTGTTAGTCCCAGGAGCATCAGGGTCATTCCTGAAAAAATGTGTACCAAGTTTTTCAAATAACAGGAAATGGCAGAAACTTTTTGGTGAGGAAATGGATCTGATTTGGGGGCACCGAAAGATTCATAAGACTTAATGGGAAATTACTGTCCTAGAGTTATCAGCAAGAACTTGCTATTGTAGTTTGATGCTGTAACAAACAATACCATGTTTGTTTGTTTGTTTATCCAAATCAAATTGGAAGAATATATTAGCATCTGCCAAGGATAAGAGGTAAAACCATTTCTAACAATCCCACCAATCTCTATGACTGTTTCTGATGTACAGATGCTTTTAGGGAAGAAAAAGAATAATAATAACTAGAAAAATAAGAAAAGAAAGGCAGAACAACTATATTCACTGCTTGAACCATTAACAAACACTCTTGCCTGGATTGGAAAATAAGCTTTTTGATTAGCTTTAAATTAAAAATTCCTTGCAGTGTACTTGAGATGCAGGTCTTCATCAACCCCCTAAGCACATAACCAATGACAGTAAAATGACAAATAAATGATTTTTACGAGTTTAATGAGTAGGCCACACCATCATTTATTCAGAATCAGTGTTGGGGAAAGATACTTTAACAGTAATGCATTACAATATTGCGTTACTTCTTAAAACAGTAACTAATTGTGTTACTTTGCTACTTTTTATGGAAAGTAATTTGTTACATTTACGTTACTTTTTTAAACTGATTACATAACTCATGCTACTTGTAATGTACATTACCCCCAACACTGTTCAGAATGCAATGTTAAGCTCAAAATGATCTCTATTTAATATGAAAGGTTAACCCAGAGTTAGCCCAACCTTTCTTAAAGACACATTAAGGTCTGCGCCGATAGTCTCGTGGGCAGCTTGCCCACATTATAGCTGGTTTAATGTTTTTTGAAGGAAACTAATGGGACATGAGCTGCCAAGTCCAATGTTGGCTACCACAATGTGCGTTTTCGAATTTGTTTTGCAGCCAAAGGTCCTAAAAAGGCTTAATTTTCTTCATGCAAAGTATAATGGTACTATATAATGGCATACAACAATATACTACGAAATTGTTTCAATTTTGCAATGAACTATCTTATGTATGAGGAAATAACTTGAACCTGACTGCGTGGCTCAGATGGCTTCTGTGTGGTGGTGAGAGCCATTGCATCAGATTTTCATTTCATCCTTATTGAGTATAATGAAATAACATGTCTGCTTAGTGCAATTCAAAAATCAGCCCATGCAGCAATGCAGGAAAACGCTCACCGTAACCCTTTTTGTAAGCTCATAATGAAAAGGAGATGATATTTCCCTTGATGGGACGCTGATGCCATTTTTGTTTATTGGGCCCAGCTCCTCCACTGAATTACATCATCTGGTGCATGTAGCCCACTTATCCATCACTAGGACAGGCAGAAGAAATCAGATGTCCCCATCTACACCATCCTGAAGATCAGCTGAGCTGTAATGGCCTTCAGTTCCCTAATTAGATGACCTTTAAACAGTCTGGATATTCACAGATCTTAAAGCTTAATCCTAACTAAATAAGATCGGTCACACTTTATTCTAATGTCCAATTCTCACTACTACTAACAATAAACTAGACCTTTTCCTCAATAAACTCTTAATTTGCTGCTTATTAATATTTAGCAAGGTAGTTGTTAAGTTTCGGTATGGTCTAGGATTAAGGGATCTAAAATATGCAGAATAAGGCATTAATATGTGCTTTATAAGTAGAAATAAACAGCCAATCTGCTAGTAATGTGCAATGCTAGTTAATAGTTTGAATTGGTCCTTAAAATGAAGTGCTACCATAAGATCACTTTGGAGTTTAAATAGGGTCAGTTTTAATATTCAAAAAGAATTATTTGAAAACATTTGATACATTATTGCAGCTTTTGTTGACTGGTTTAGTTTCAGGCCTGTTTATTTTGCTCTCCTAACTATGCATGGTTATATTTTTGGGCTGCAACTCACCAACTGAGAGCCACTGATTTATGAAACTGGAACCAACATTGATTTTTTTCCTTTTTTAACTACAGCCAATTTTTTACTACTGCCCTTTTCAATTTGTTTTAAGCAAGGAAATCAAAGACATAGCACATATTTGTATTTATGGATCAGTAACACTTCAATAAACGTGCGGAGTTCTGGACATTTGGGAAGATGAGATTCACTTCTGAATATCATCTGCGACACACCGCATGCATTTGGGAGTCAGCTTTCAAACATCTGAGCTTTGGTTCAGAACATCTTACGTGATAAGGTTGAGGTGTTACTACAGGCCTTGCTCTTAAACCAGCATGCTGAGAGATATCAAAGGCAGCAGCAATCTTTTCATCACACCACAAGTCAGTGTATATTAGTCCCTGTGGTGCGACTCCAGATGAAAATGTCATGCAGTCTTGGGGTGCTGCCGACACGTGCCACGTTGACAGCCATCTGATGAGCTTTTGATCCCCTTGAATCTGACACCTGCCTGCTATTCCTTGTTAATCAATGTTAACCTGTTAATCAATCAATGATTTCAGCACTGTTAAGAACAATTACTGCTCCTAGGTTTGCACAGCTCCTGTATTGACAGTTTGAATCCGTCAATAACTGTACACAATGTCTAGCTGTCCTTTCCCAATCAATTATCACTAGACTATCTCAAATTCTGGACGGATGGCCTATGTGAAATTGGCTGGGATGTACTGTATGATAGAAACTTGTTATGACATCAAATCTGTGACTGATCGCAAAAATATTTATCGCATTATCCCGACAATGGAAAGCAAGCATTATATTACAAAGTACTGGAACATAAGCAGGCTTTTACTATAATTACAATAGATGCCTTTGTCAGTAATCTCCTCGAATGTAGAAAGCCCATGTGACTGATGCAACTAAAAGGTGATAAAATGCACAATGTTTTCATTTAAATTTGTATGCTTAGCATCCCCCCTAGGTCAAAATCCCCCCCAAAACTAAAAAATGAACACCTACAGTGCTTTGTGATAATTAATATTCAATAATATGGGTGCATATCAAAATAATAGCTTCATTTCAAAATTACTAGTAGTTTTACTTTTGCACGCACTGCACTGGGATCTCAGGGAACCAAACATAAAGTAAATGCATCTCAACAAAACATGACACTTAAGACCCCCTGTCATTTTATTTCTTTGTTTCAGTACTTTAATCTTATTCTTTGCTTCTAGTGCTTGTGTTGCATGTCCACGCTCAGACTGTGTAGTTACAGGCCAGAATTCTTCCTGATTCTTCATCAGCAGGTGGAGAGGAGGAGTCAATTCCTGACTTAAATCTTCTTAAACAAACGTCTTGACTGAAATGGAATGAAATGCATCTATCCTGATTCTGTCCTGAATTTGGTTTAATGGCTGTTTGAATCATGACACACCTCCCGATTGAACACGGTCATTATATAACTAGTATTAGTTATACTATTATTATAATTATTATAACGCGGACTACTCGATAGCTTCACACACCACTGCCTCATTTAGTGATTTTCTGGAGCTTATTTAAAGGGGTTCGCCACCAGCAACGTAAAAAAAAAAAAAACACCTGCAAGCTCCAATGTCGACAGATATTAATCAGATTGCATCTTCATATGTGCAAAACATGCACGCAGTCCTATACTCCAAGGAGAACAGATTAGAGGAATCCATGGGAAATAGAGCATCACCGCAGACACTCACAGCCACATAACGTTTGCGAACCAGCACATTATCATGATAAACTCGTTTGATATTCTTACCTCAGAGGAAGATGGGCGATTAGAAAAGCCCACAGACAGAGCTTGAGCGAGATCGCGGGGATCGCCACAGAGGAACAATGAAAAGAAGAAGCCATGATCACCATCTTGCTCTCTCTTCACGCAGACGGACGCGTCCCCTTTATGTATTGCCTTTCTTCGCTATGACACATAGCAGATCGCGTTGGCTTTCGCGTCTCAGCTCCTTCTCTACTGAAATAACACTGGCAGCTATCTGGAAATAAATGCAAGACCGGCTCCGGCACAACTGCTAAATGTGTGAATGCAGATGAAGTGTGTGAAAGCGGATCTGATGCACGTCGCAGCAGCAATACAACACATGCGTGGTAGAGATGCAATCCAAGCGCTTCTATTAATACAATCTCTCCATTATATCCAGATAATATTATAGCTACCACGCAAACAACGTCTTACACAAAGCATCAACGCATGCATATTAAGGCGTCTTAATTATTATTACTTTTAAACACAACGATATTTAATAAAAGGGAATCCGAATCGTAGGCTGCGTCGAACGCGACTTATTCATTCAGAATTTAGATACTGTTTTGTGTAGGCTATTTCGTTAATGCATTTGAGCCATTTATTAATATTAGAATTAAAACACGCTGTTCTTTGACGAATAGGCTGTCTCTCTGCATTTTTACCTTGTAACGTTGACTGTTGTCTGTTTTTTTTTATTATTTTTTATTTTATTTTATTCGTTTTTAATTCACTTTTCTAGCATGTTGGAGGTAAATGGATGTGGAGATTTATGTAAGAATTATTTAACATGTCCATAAATGACAGAATTAAAGGTCGTGTGTGATTTGGAGTGTAAATAGAGAGAGAGAGAGAGAGAGAGACTGTCATGATGTGAGCACAGGAAGCTGTCATTCCTCACAGCATGAGGAAAAAGAAGTGCATGGTAATTCCACGTGATATAGGCGACCAATCGCTGCGTACAGCTTACAGATGTCACATATGAGTCTAAACTGAGGTAGAGTGACAGCATGTTAGTGACAACAGCTATTTATGAGAAGAAACTCAGTTTCAGCACCATGTACAAATCTCGTTAGCATCAAGTGGAAGGGATTGTATTATAGCACCATGGACAGCTCCTTAACTGTCTCCACTGTGAAATCATTGGGGAAACTAGGGGGGAAACACAGTTTAGGGTGGCACCATACATCTATGCATGTATGTGTTTATTTATTAATTCACCACTGTTTTGCAACCCTCCTAAAAATAAAGAGATAAATAGGTAAAATTATGAAATTGAAGTTAACTTATCCTCTATGGAGAAAACATTTGAATATCCCTTATATAACATAATGTGTCTAATGAAATAGCTAATGTTTTTAAGTGAGGCATTGTGGCTGAATGGTCCATCCACTTCTTTTAGCCACTGGGAAGGAATAAAATAGAAAACAGATTATAATTCACGCTCCTGGCCTGTTCTACTTTCCACTGATGTCAGCTTATGAACGCTCAGTATTAGTGCTCTGTGCAAAAGTTAGCCACGGGACGTTTCGTGCCTGTGGTCATGCTTGGTTTGCTGAGAACACACAGCACATGCATTCATTTTCCTCTAATCTGCTAGATTATCAAAAATCATTTAACTCAAATAAATGTCGGCAGCAACTGCCCAACTATGCTGTTGGTGAAACTTTTCTGTGTTTTCATATAATCATGTACCTCGCTTCTTAGTTTCATAGGAGAGGTAAAAGGGAAAGTTTGCACAAAACTGTTTAAATAAAATAATAATTAAAACAGACATTATATAGAGATGGCAAAAGAGAAGCTTACTAAAACATGCTGAACTATGCCGTACACATCCCAGTTGAAGAGAGAAATGAGCATGTCTTCTGGGAAGAATTCTGTGGATAAATAATAATAAAACATAAATACATAATGATAAAGCCTTCATCCCCTCAGCTTGTTAAATTAGCATGCATGGTTGTTTGTTTCCATCGACTCTTTTCCAGATGTCGAACAAAGGCTTGCAGAACAAAATAACGTATTTTAACAATAAAATAAAAACCACAGGGAACAAAGAACAGAATGATGGACTAACAGACAACCATTACATGCAACAACTCACAGAGAATTAAAGAAACACTAGGGCTATATATACACAGGAGGCTAACAAGTTAAAAAAGATAAGATACAAACTGACTACAAACACCACGGGAGACAGAAAGTTACATAAAAGTCCAAGACGAGGCACAGAGAGCATGTTGATTTGACAAGAAACAGTTGATTTGTGAGGAGAGCAATCACATTTATCTTCTAAAACCAAAATATAACTGAATACCTCAACATTGCAAAAAAAAAAACAAACAAAAAAACAATATCCTTCAAAAATATATCTTCAGTATAATGGATAGATGAAATACTGTTAAGTAAAATTAAAAAGTCAATGCCTTCTTGCACTGGATGTGCTGGTTTCGGCTGCCCGATGTCCTCGTCTCATATATAAAACACCTGTGATTCACAACTACTTGCTAAGGAGCTCACATTCACGTAAAGTAGCCTTGTTGACCAGTTTGGCTGAGTAAGGGCAAAACTCATAAGATCTAGCACTTTCAGTGCCCTGTAGTTGGCAGTATCACGTCTTTTGTAGCAGAAATAAACTGCTGCAGAAAAAGCTAGGTCCATGCAAAATGCAATGTGTAACTGCAACACTCATTTCAAATGTAGTGGAGTAAAGAGTACAGATACTCATTTAAAAATGTGACCCTGGAGCACAAAAGCAGTCTTAAGTCGCTGGGGTATATTTGTAGCAATAGCCAACAATACATTGTATGGGTCAAAATTATAGATTTTTCTTTTATGCCAAAAATCATTAGGATATTAAGTAAAGATCATGTTCCATGAAGATATTCAGTAAATTTCCTACTGTACAAATACACCATGCTTCAGCGAATCGGTCATCTCATTCGCAAGGTTGCTGCTGATCGACTTTTGCAACACTGGCAATATAACATAAAATAGTAATGAATGTAGTTTTTTTCTGTATATCTTGAAAAAAATCGTGCAAATTTTGATGTTTGTTTCGATTCAAATAAATCCTTGTAGCTGAACATTAGAGTTTGTACTTGTGCTATGCTCCTCTCCAAACTTGTGAAGAGTTGAGCATCTCTAAAACTCAGCTCGTAAATCATTCATATCATCGTCTCCACAGGGAAACATGTTAAATATTTATGAAAGATTATCTGAAAGAGAGAGAAAGAAATTATAAAGCTTTAATATCATGGGGATGGGAATAAGATGATTCATACTCAAACACTTGGGCACAAGTTTCTTTGAACTCTGGTTGAATCCAATGTATCATGTTAAAAAGTAAGGCACTGATTATTCGAGACTCAAGTAAATGAAATGTAATAAATACAATACATTCAGGAAGTATTCAGATCCCTTCGTTTTTTTTCATTTTACTATATTGCAGCATTTTATAAAATGCTTTAAATTATTTTTTTCACATCAAACAATACATACTCTATAATGACAAAAATAAAATAAAACTGTGAACCAGAAAAAATAAAGAAAAAGCTGAAATATCTCACTGACGTAAGTATTAAGACCTTTTGCTTGAAATTAAGCTCAGGTGCATTTCTGTGGGTCATTTTTGAGTCTCACTCTTTATAGTCCACTTTATACATTATACTAACATTGCAACTACATGTCAGCTAACTCTCATTAGAGTATTAGTAGACTGTTAGGTTAGGATTAGTAGAATAAGTTAACATGTAGTTGCAAAGTTAGCAGGTTGTCTGAAGTGTTACCCATTTTTGAATGTTTCTTCACTTTGATTGTAGAATGAGTCCAACTGTGGCAATTTAAATTGCTTGTACATGATTTGAAAATGCACACGTCTTTATATAAATTCTAAAAGATGAAACTGCATATCAGGGAGAAAACAAGCCATGAGGTAAAAGGAATACAATGCTCTACAATGCTCAGAAATATTGGCAAGTACAGATCTGGGCTAGGCATAAAAAACAACAACATTCCCATGAGCCTTTATAATTTGGCTGAGCATTTGGGAAAAACAGACCCGGACTTTCTCACTATCTTTGCAAAGTCATGTTCTAATTGTGCAATTCTGAGAGTTTATTTACTTGTATATTATCCCATACTGTCTTTTCTGTTTACCCCTTCCTTTGTGATTTGGATTTGGTTGCTTGATCGGATTGTTTTGGATCCCCTGTCTGTTCTCCAACTCTGTTTCTGGTTTTGGATCCTCGTGAGCCTCCGGTGTCTTCTTCATCGCAGAGGAAGACACATGAAAGCCTGCTTGGAATTTCCCAAAAATTTCCACGGTGGTAACATCATGCTGTGGGGTGATTCATTTCAGCGTTAGAGACACAGGCTAGAATGAAAGCCGAATGCAGCAAAATACAGAGATATCCTAGATGAAACCTGGTTCACAGCGCTCAGGCCAGAGCCCAAACTTTAACCAAACTGGACCTCTCTGGAGAGACTGAAAAATGTCCAACAAATCCTCATCCCAGCAGACTGGATCCGCAGAGAAGAAAATCCCAGAATATTGAGGTGCAAAGCTTGCCACTTTAACCTCTACTTAAAAGTCTTGAGGACATTGCAGCCAAAGCTGCCAAAATATGAGAAACAAAGGTGTTGTGCATGCTTTAAATGACCGCAGATCCTAATTAATGTCATCTTTATTCAAATAAAAAACATGAAACAAAATATATCAGATAATTTATTTTGTGATTGTGTAATAAATGAACGTTTAAGTAATTTTCTACTCTATAATTGAGTTCTCCATGGCAGAATCTAAGCTACAAATTTAAATAAGCATCACATATATATGCATGATTTTTTTTTGTCTGACAGCCTTTTGGGAGAGTGCTGCTTCTCTCACTCTGAACGGATGTCTCTAAAGATGAGTGCTTTCTCATGTCCTCGGCAAAGTAATTTTCTACTCTATAATTCTTCATTTGAAATATATTAAGAAAACAAATAATAAAATAGAAATAACATTGTCAGTCCAGAGCTTGACTGAAAAGTTTCAGCCATGGCAGAATCTAAGCTACAAATTTAAATAAGCATCACACATATATGCATGATTTTTTTTTGTCTGACAGCCTTTTGGGAGAGTGCTGCTTCTCTCACTCTGAACGGATGTCTCTAAAGATGAGTGCTTTCTCATGTCCTCGGCATTCTTGACATATTAAAGATGTGCAAACTCATGATGACTGTCACTGAGTGTTGTGTATAAGGCACTGAGCTTTCAGGAACGCCACACAGGCCAAATTTAGTATCATCTTGAGCAGTGTGCAATGGAAGAGAGACCAACATGAAGGACCTTGAGCTGCATGGGCAAACTG